ATATCTGTATGTCCAGGCGTGTTGACACATATCTGTATGTCCAGGCGTGTTGACACAAATCAGTATGTCCAGGCGTGTTGACACATATCTGTGTGTGCAGGCGTGTTGTCATATATCTGTATATCCATGCGTGTTGACACATATCTGTATGTGCAGGCGTGTTGACACAAATCTGTATGTGCAGGCGTGTTGACACAAATCTGTATGTGCAGGCGTGTTGACACATATCTGTATGTGCAGGCGTGTTGACACATATCTGTATGTGCAGGCGTGTTGACACATCTGTATGTGCAGGCGTGTTGACACAAATCTGTATGTGCAGGCGTGTTGACACAAATCTGTATGTCCAGGCGTGTTGACACATAACTGTATGTGCAGGCGTGTTGGCACACAGTATGTGCAGTCAAGTCAAGTCCTCCACAGTGAAAGCGTGGGATTTCAGTACCACTGTTGTCATTGCATATATTTACTGTCTTTCTTCTCAGTGATTTTCTCATGTATCCCTATGATCGTTCTGATTATTCCCGCCATGCAACACGGTCCATGACAGCCTCTTCTCACCTCAATAACTGTATTCATCATGTCCTGCATGCACATATCGTAGTAGAGACAGACCGGATGCTCTGCCCATGTTTCAGACACGTAAGTAAAATAAATAAGATCTTAGTCTCAATCCAACACTTGATGAAATGACTGGAAGAGGAGAAGAAAAGAGGCGGCGGCGGCAGAAGAAGAAAGAATACAAAACCTGGCGGAGGGCGGGAAAGTAGAACACGGCACCATTCCCTCAACAACGTGATTAATTTTTCACACCGCTCAACAGCTCTCGAAGGGGCTTGACCACAACAATGAGTTAAACAGAAAGCTACTCACAACTCCGTGATGATGCTTAAGAAGATCCCAATTTAGCAAACTCCAATTAGCATGGGTTTGCAGCATTCAGAAGTCTCACCTAAAGAAACTACCTTGTACACACTAGGATGTGCCGGGGTGAAAGGAACAGAATGAGCTGACAGACTGGCCATATCTGCAGTGGTTAGTGGAAGAAGTATTGATGGCGCAGGTATAAAGAATGCACTGCGTTCCAGAGACCCTGAACCGTAACAGTCAGATGATGAACAGCCTGTTCAAAATGGATATCAATGAACAAACGAAATTTGGTGCTTCAATTTTAATTCACCCCAAACAAACCTTCTGGCTATATTTAGCAGGGTTAGTATTAGCCTTAGGGTTAGCAAAAACACATTATATAAAGAAAACCAAAATCAACAGCGAAAGAAAACATGGGTGTCACGAGATGTATTTGGACTATTCTGGGAACACCCATGTTTCCTTTGTTTGGGGTGAATTACAACTGAAGTACCTTTTATTTTCAAGAATGAGAAATTCCCAGACTCATCTTTCACACACTTATTAAACAAAGACAAGCATGCATAAACTGGTTGTGTGGCAAAGAGATGTATACCCATCACATCCTGCTGTGTGTGTTGAGCATGGACACCGTGAGATGGCTGCTGCATTGGAGGACAGAGCATGAATGGGTCGGACAGACATGCTTGGATGTCAATATGGACAACAAGTATCATATAACACAGTGCAGTCAGAGAAATCGTAGACAGACAAGTCACACACACACAACTAGATAGGCTGCACGTTCCACAACAATCGAATTTGTGATAACTGTGCTACATGAACAGTTAGCATCTACACCTTACGTCATTTGCTGGGGGAGACGGAGCATCTATAGGTATGCCCGGTGTGCTTTGATGTCGATTCTTAAAATTAGTATAATCAGTAATAACGATCGCAAGTAATGACAAAATATTACACAAATGACTCAGCAGAGCCGCCCATTCCCCAAAGTTACTTTTATTGTAGCGATAAAGTGAGATTAGAAAGACATCATGACACTTGCAAGGCAAAAATAATTTAAGGTCATTCTGTGTTGGCAGCGATTTACCATCGCCTATTGGCATGAGGCAATTACATTTCTAAATATCATGAGATGAAAACTTCTAGAAATGTGATAAAATGAATCTTTAAATATAATATGAACATTACTGTACAGAATAACAACATCTTTAATCATGTATTCATTTTGCTGCAGAAAATGGCTGAAAATATTTGTACAATATTAAACAACATTAGCAATGTCGTTTCTTTTTTTTTTTTTTCGGGGTTCACTCTCTTAAAAAGATAGCTGGCATGATGTGGTTTACAGCTAGGCCACAATATCTGTACCATTTGGCTCAGCACATCAAACTACCTAACTAGTTGCCTTTTCCTGCATGCCTGTTGGGCAGCTGTGGGTCTATTTTGTTGTCTCCCAGAAATGGGACTGTGCCCCCGCAGGACGCAAACGCTCAGTAATGTGGATGTGGTTAGACAGAGAGATGCTGTTGAGTTCACATTTTACCTGTGTGACTTCTGGGGCCCCATTGGGGGGGTAGGGCAGCCTGACTATCTCCCTAGAAAACATGTCGTACAGAGCGACTTATCTGGGGAGTCTCCTTTGACATCCGAGTTGAGGAAGCTACAGTGTGCATGCACATAGTAAGAGATCCCTTTCTTCACACCTTTAGGGACACTGGGCATATAGGGCTAGACCTATATTTTATAGACCAATCAGCACTCTGTGGGTGATGTGGTCAACATCCTACCAGCCATCTCTACTTCCCAGGACGCTACCTGGTACCCATACAGGCTGGGTCCACCTGGTAGCCATACAGGCTGGGTCAACCTGGTAGCCATACAGGCTGGGTCCACCTGGTAGCCATACAGGCTGGGTGGACCTGGGAGCCATACAGGCTGGTTGGACCTGGGATCCATCCAGGCTGGGTCAACCTGGTAGCCATACAGGCTGGGTCGACCTGGGATCCATACAGGCTGGGTGGACCTGGGAGCCATACGGGCTGGGTGGACCTGGGACCCATACAGGCTGGGTCGACCTGGTAGCCATACAGGCTGGGTGGACCTGGGAGCCATACAGGCTGGGTGGACCTGGTACCCACACAGGCTGGGTCCACCTGGTAGCCATACAGGCTGGGTCCACTTGGGAGTCAAGCCATTTCTGAAAAAAAAAAAAAAAGTCCAGCTCCTTAGAACCTGAACCTACAACTTTCGTATCCACAGGATTAAGTCTAATCACTTCAGGACTGCAGCTCCCACCTACATATATGCCAGATCTATCAAACGGATGTGTGCTCACATTTCAAGTTGTGGAAGAAGACCAAGCCCAGAAATGGACGAACAGTCAGAACATTGAGCTGCTGGTAAATGCTAAGATTATGAAGAATACAAAAACCAAGAGATTCAACAGACGTTAAGAAAACTCCTGGCCGACCGAGTTACTGGAAACAACAACTATAAAAAACGCTGCAGAAGATAAGAGATGAGACTGTCAGCCTCCAGCTCAGGCAGGCTGCCCGTGTGTATTGTTGCGCATGTAAAAAAAATTATACCTTGGCAGTTGGAAAAAATCCTTTGATAAATGGGGGTTAAAAATGAAAAGCAGACTAAATATTGAGTCAAAGTTTCTTTTGTTTTAGTCTCTAAAAAAAAAAACTAATTTCTGCCTGTAATCCCCCCCCCCCCCCCGCGAAGTACCCCTTTCTCTCTCTGTATACAGCGTGTGGGAAGGGTTTTGACAAAAAAGCTTAGCAAAGATTTGAACCTTGGTCTCCAGCATGACAGCCCAGGGTTAACCGCTCACTCAGCCAGTCCTCAAACAGGTTACTGTCCAGAGAAAATCTCCATGAAGAAAGCTGCCTGCAGATTTACAGAATACTGCATGTGTGATTCTGGGATATACTTTCAGATCCTTGCCTGTGCCAAGAAGTTTGTGCACTGTGCTCAGATGCTCTTTAAGTGATCTTTGCTATTGCCTTGATTGGAGCATTTAAGGAGATACACTGGTGTGGCAAATTTGATCCCTGACAAAACCACACTTTCTGCATTCATCCCTAAAATAGCAGTCAGTAAAGATCACACCTGAAAGGGCGGTTAGCGGAGTTGTTTACAGCTAAGCTGTGATATCTGAACCTCTCAGTCCACCACATCTGACTTCAGTCAATTAGTCTCCTTTTATTATATGCTTGTTTAGGGACCAGTTCACCCCCCCCCCCCCCCACCCCCTAGAAAGGGGTCCTGCAACCCACACAAGGACAACCTACCAAATGTCAACATTAGGGCTGAGAGAGCAGTACATGCAGGAGCCCATCTCTCCCTCAGACCTATAGGGGAAGCTATGATTACTAATACTGTGACTCAAGCCTGCTGTAAGGGATGAATGGGGAGGGGTGTGTGTGGGGTGTGACTGACTAGCAAAACTGCCATTACTGACTGTATGCGATGTAGACAGGGGCATCTGTACTTCCAGCTGGGCCACTTCCCCGTAAATGACCATTTCATTTATGGTCATGTATGCAGTGAAGTGTTTTGTAAAAGCATAAATTCCACTGGTCATTTGTGCCTAAATGTTACAGACAGGTTCTAAGAATATCTTGGGTAAAGAAAAGAACAAATGCATCCATACTTCAAGAGCTGAATATTGAAGAGGGTTGGCTAGTAAAGACAATAAAACAAAGAAAATTGAAATATTTTGGTCACTTGAAACGTCATGGAAGTCTAGAGAGAACAATAATGGAGGGGTACATGCCTGGGAAGAGAGGAAGAGGAAGGCCAAGGAGAAGATGGGTGCAGGATGTGGCAGATGATCTCCAGATGGGTGTATCAGACGCAGGACATCTTGCTCAGGATAGGAAGGTTTTCCGGAGGGTTGTTATGGCAGCGAGGTTCCGCGAGGGACATGCTACTGAATGAATGAATGAATTTGTGCCTGCGCAGTTTTTAAATAGGATGTGAATACAGCAACCGTGACTTGCTGCAGTCACTAGTGTCTATAATTATATATTTGCTGCATAATATACCACTTTCAATTGGTGCAGTTACCAGCATTAACATTTGCTTCACAATGCAACAAGGCATGTGATTGGCCAAAATCACTGTGACCAACCAATCAGGTACTCAACCAAACCATCTTCCTGACGAATTCTAAGAGAGATGACATCATACTGTTCTCCGTCACTAAGACTGCCATTTCTACCACCAACAGTTTCAGTCATCCCATAGCACCTGCTGCCAGACGCTGCCTGGAACCTCTGAACGACGCTGCGACTGCGATGACTGCGCCGGACGCTATCTATATTCTGTGAGCACTGGTCCTGAACTCCTTCAACCTGGCTGAAGTCTGCCGTTTTCAACTTCCTTTTTCTACTCTTGTTTCCAGATTTTGAAAGACTGCTGGGAGTTGGTCTGGCATGAGCACCTTCTGTCGGAGCAGACAGTGGAGTAGCTGAAGCACTACCCGGGGGTCTCGGGCTGTCGGCGACACTGTCAAGAACACCGCTCTGTCCAGCACTGGTCACTGTTGTATGTGATTCTTCCAGGACAGGAAATCTGAAGCCACAAGTCGGCGACAGCTTCTTCAAGCATCTTCTCAAGGCTTTCAGTCGCTTCTGTGCTGCCTTGTCAACAGAATCTTCAGACCTGGTGTCTTTCCATGTTGATGGCTCAGATTTTATACAGGAAATGCCATTTTTCAGAGAAATTCTGTCCTTTTTGGGAGAAACTTTTGTCCTGCTACAAGAGGGCGAGCCAGCTGCTTTTGCAGACTTACTGTTTCTACCATGCTGGGAAAGACGATTTCTACGTGACAAAACACCATTTTTGGGAGGGTTCAACCGATCAAACAATTTCTCATCTTTTGAAGAGAATTCCGAGCTGTCCGGCAAGCATTTGGTTTTCAGTGGACTGCTGGCACTTGACCTACATGTAGACTTGATCAAATCGGCCAGCTCTCCTTTAAAACCTTTCACAGCTGACGGTGGTGAACTTATCGGAGACATTACCGGATTTGCCTTCTTTCTAGTTTTTTGCTCGTCTTCCTCCAACAAAAAGGTTGACAATATTTCCAGCTGGTTTTCAAAGTGCTGTCTCTGCTTCCTCAAACTCTCTTGCTCAAACTCTGTCAGAAATGGGTGGTTGGCCCCGGTAAAATTCATCGGCTCTGGAAATGCGGTGTCCAAAGACCAAAAAGAACTCTTTGGCTTAGCAACAGGAGCAAAAACTATACTCGGTTTCTCCACGGCCTCCTGGCGGCTACTGCCGCTACCGTGAGTTGCCTCCACATCCATTTCTAGTTTTGGTGGAGCTTGCACTGAGGGAGAATTGTTGTTGGCATCGAAGCTTTCCCAGCTGCTTTCATCATTTTTATGGAAATCTCTGGAGAATGAGTCATCCACACACTTGATGGGCGTACAGTAATTGTGCTCAGATTTCTGCAAGAAGAATTCTCAAGTTGAAACATTTTACTTTTTTTTTTAAAGAAAAACAAATACAATGACTGTGATGCTGATGTATTTAAAAAGCTAATCAGTGGCTCTATACACGTATATGTGTTCCCCATTTGGTGGCCCATGCAACAAATGTAAAGGCTCTGTGATATCATTTATGCCCACAAAAACTACATTTAGAATGTAATCTTTCTGTGATTCTTTTTTTTTTTTTTTTTTTTGTGATTCAAGCATTTATAAATTATAATCTGTTCTTCAGTATGACTGTTGAAAAATATGGGGTTCATATAAAAGTAAAATAAACCCTTTGGGCGTACTCGGCATATAGGGCTAGACCTATATTTTGAGAGACCAATCGGCACTTGCTGGGTGATACAGTCAACATGACGACGGCCGCCTTTACTGACAACTTTTACCTGGCACCCATTAGAACCAGGTGAGCCAAGGTCATTGTTTGAAAAATCTCCGGCACTAATTCTTTCAGCACTTATTCTTGGCAGTTACTTCAACTGATACATGTCTGAGCTTCAAGGAACCAGACTTTTAACTCAGGTTAAATAACATTAATCTATAGTAGAATTATAAATGTGATAGGATATAGTCAAGTAACACCTACCTATAGTAGAATTATAAATGTGATAGGATATAGTCAAGTAACACCTACCTATAGTAGAATTATAAATGTGATAGGATATAGTCAAGTAACACCTACCTATAATAGAATTATAAATGTGATAGGATATAGTCAAGTAACACCTACCTATAATAGAATTATAAATGTGATAGGATACAGTCAAGTAACACCTACCTATAGTAGAATTATAAATGTGATAGGATATAGTCAAGTAACACCTACCTATAGTAGAATTATAAATGTGATAGGATATAGTCAAGTAACACCTACCTATAGTAGAATTATAAATGTGATAGGATATAGTCAAGTAACACCTACCTATAGTAGAATTATAAATGTGATAGGATATAGTCAAGTAACACCTACCTATAGTAGAATTATAAATGTGATAGGATATAGTCAAGTAACACCTACCTATAGTAGAATTATAAATGTGATAGGATATAGTCAAGTAACACCTACCTATAGTAGAATTATAAATGTGATAGGATATAGTCAAGTAACACCTACCTATAGTAGAATTATAAATGTGATAGGATATAGTCCAAGTCCAAGTCCAAGTCCTTTTGAGAAAAAAAAAAAAGAAAAGCTCGACCACGTTCAGACTGCTGCTAGCTAGCCTAGGCTGCTAACAGTCTTCGCCTATATTTGTGGTCTGGGTTATTTGCGTCACTTTCGTGACTGAATACTGGTGTTTGTGCCATTTCTGGCTTAATGTTTCCCTCCGTGTCAAACTGCTCGTCCTGTTGTCACTGGTGCATGTCTTCCTTCTTCATTCTTGGTGTTTCTTTCCTGTTTGTTCTGTCTCCCTTTGATCTGGCTAGGCGTATCTCGAAGGAGAGCGAGCTTCCAAACACAACGACCTTTCGGTCACCATTTATTGTTTTAAAATTTTGAGTATTTTAATTTTGCCAAAAAGTACTGAAAACAGTTTTTGAATGTGAATAGTTCCGAATAGGATATAGTCAAGTAACACCTACCTATAGTAGAATTATAAATGTGATAGGATATAGTCAAGTAACACCTATCTATAATAGAACGAGTGGGGAAATTCCTTATTAGTTTCTTTGACGACATTCTTGCTGCAGGTGTTGCATCTATTTATTCTACCACCTTGACTTTTTTGTCAAGAGTTCTCGAAGTGAAGGGGTTAAGAAGGTAAAGTTATCAGAAAGAACTGCAAGCAGATTGATTCAACAATTTGTGAGGAGCAAAAAGTAATTATGAGAAGAGTAACAGACATATGGACTAATGCACATGTGGCACTTTGTTTGGCATCACAAGTGTGAATGATGGGGCCCGTCTGTGACAGAAGTCTCAGGTATGTGCAGTTTTGGATTCAATCTAAAAGGCTAAAAAATGAAACAATAAACCAAGTAACTGGGTTAGAAGGTTACGCACCACCTACCTGTACAAGAATGGGTTGGGATTAAAACTGGGGCAGAATGGCTACATGTAGGAGAATGGTTTGGTATTAAAACTGGGGCAGAATGGCTACCTGTGCGAGAATGGGTTGGGATTAAAACTGAGGCAGAATGGCTACATGTAGGAGAATGGGTTGGGATTAAAACCGGGGCAGAATGGCTACCTGTACGAAAATTGGTTGGGATTAAAACTGGGGCAGAATGGCTACATGTACAAGAATGGGTTGGGATTAAAACTGGGGCAGAATGGCTACATGTACAAGAATGGTTTGGGATTAAAACGGGCAGAATGGCTACATGTAAAAGAATGGTTTGGGATTAAAACTGGGGCAGAATGGCTACCTGTACGAGAATTGGTTGGGATTAAAACTGAGGCAGAATGGCTACATGTATAGGAATGGGTTGGGATTAAAACTGGGGCAGAATGGCTACATGTATAAGAATGGGTTGGGATTAAAACTGAGGCAGAATGGCTACATGTATAAGAATGGGTTGGGATTAAAACTGGGGCAGAATGGCTACATGTATAAGAATGGGTTGGGATTAAAACTGGGGCAGAATGGCTACAAGTACAAGAATGGGTTGGGATTAAAACTGGGGCAGAATGGCTACATGTACAAGAATGGGTTGGGATTAAAACTGGGGCAGAATGGCCACAAATACAAAAATTGGTTGGGATTAAAACAGTGAGAAAATGGGGTTTGACTGAGAAGTTAACAACTATGACAACTACCAATGACACTTACCACTCTAGCAATTTTGGCCAGCTTGGATTCTCGTAACTTGGCGCCCATAGTTGGAGGAACCACTCTGTTACTGCCCCTTAACACATATGGAACTTGCAGAGTACTGTGGAAAGATAAAAAAAATGTTATGTTATCCTAACTGACGTCACTGCACACTGGGAATTCCCATGTGTGCTCAGTCCTCAAGAAAAGTTTAGAATGTGTCCTAACTGAAGGCAGCCCCAAAAGCTTCACTCTGAGGTCAGGTAATCATGTTAGAGATTAGCCATTATTCACCAGTCAAAATAGCGCTGATGATATCTGCTCTGTCCATTCATTTCCCTACATGTAGAACTTATATCTGCTCTGTCCATTCATTTCCCTACATGTAGAACTCATATCTGCTCTGTCAATTCATTTCCCTACATGTAGAACTCATATCTGCTCTGTCAATTCATTTCCCTATATGTAGAACTCATTTCTGGTCTGTCCATTCATCTCCCTACATGTAGAACTCATATCTGCTCTGTCCATTCATTTCCCTACATATATAACTCATATCTGGTCTGTCCATTCATTTCCCTACATGTAGAACTCATATCTGGTCTGTCCATTCATCTCCCTACATGTAGAACTCATATCTGGTCTGTCCATTCATCCCCCCACATGTAGAACTCATATCTGGTCTGTCCATTCATCCCCCCACATGTAGAACTCATATCTGGTCTGTCCATTCATCCCCCCACATGTAGCACTCATATCTGGTCTGTCCATTCATCCCCCCACATGTAGAACTCATATCTGGTCTGTCCATTCATCCCCCCACATGTAGCACTCATATCTGGTCTGTCCATTCATCCCCCCACATGTAGAACTCATATCTGGTCTGTCCATTCATCCCCCCACATGTAGCACTCATATCTGGTCTGTCCATTCATCCCCCCACATGTAGAACTCATATCTGGTCTGTCCATTCATCCCCCCACATGTAGAACTCATATCTGGTCTGTCCATTCATCCCCCCACATGTAGCACTCATATCTGGTCTGTCCATTCATCCCCCCACATGTAGAACTCATATCTGGTCTGTCCATTCATCCCCCCACATGTAGCACTCATATCTGGTCTGTCCATTCATCCCCCCACATGTAGAACTCATATCTGGTCTGTCCATTCATCCCCCCACATGTAGCACTCATATCTGGTCTGTCCATTCATCCCCCCACATGTAGAACTCATATCTGGTCTGTCCATTCATCCCCCCACATGTAGCACTCATATCTGGTCTGTCCATTCATCCCCCCACATGTAGCACTCATATCTGGTCTATCCATTCATCTCCCTACACGTAGCACTCATATCTGCTATGTCCATTCATCTCCCCACATGTAGCACTCATATCTGCTGTGTCCATTCATCTCCCCACATATAGCACTCATATCTGCTGTTTTCATTCATCTCCCCACATGTAGCACTCATATCTGCTATGTCCATTCATCTCCCCACATGTAGCACTCATATCTGCTCTCTTAATTCATCTCCCCACATGTAGCACTCATATCTGCTATGTCCATTCATCTCCCCACATGTAGCACGCATATCTGCTATGTCCATTCATCTCCCCACATGTAGCACTCATATCTGCTATGTCCATTCTGACATTCATCTCCCCACATGTAGCACTCATATCTGCTCTCTTAATTCATCTCCCCACATGTAGTGGTGCCAAACTTGTCAGCTGGTAGCTTATTCATGACCTCTGACAGATACCAGAATTCTTCTCTGTCATCTACAGTAAGTAGGTCAATAACCATTCTCTACAGCTTAAGGCTTAATGTTCATACATGTTTATGCTCAGTTTCATTTTACAGATGAATCAGCATTCAATTTGTTATGTCTATATGCCAACCCCCTTAGCCTCCCAGAACATTCCTAAGCACAAAGTCAAGTGGATAGCACACAGGCTTAACCAAACATATTATCATCATCTGACTATTATTGGCATAAACAAAACAGTCACTGACAAACTGTTGTTTGTTTTAGTATCCAGAAGCCATGAGTTGTTAACCCTTAGGTTCGTTATTATAGATATCGCAACCTTTCGGCCTTGATTCCATTGTAAATACTGTAAATCTGGGAGAAATGTGGCTTTTTTGCCGACCCCCGGAAGTGAACCCGGACCGATGGAATTCATCACTCTGTCACCGCGCAATCCGGTTTAGCAAACTATGCTAGAGAGCCGGGCCTGACAAACTGTTAAAATGTTTCCTGTTCAAAAGTATCTGACTTAAAATAGTTGCCCTCTGTTCACAATAAGTAATTAAGACTGATAAAATAACGTTTTATTAAAATGTTTTCTGTTCAAAATGAGCTTAATAAGCAACAAAGAAACAAACTCAAGCCAATTATTGTCCCAGTTGGACCTGCTATTTATTAATAGATGACTACTCTGCCTCCGTTTCAGACAGACAAACATTTGTGCCTTTCAATTATTACATTCCACCTCAGACAGACATTTCCATGAACACATAATTTGTCATCTCTCTTCTTCCTGTGCTAGATATATTCTGACGAGATTATATCTTCAGAGGCTGCTGGGAAATTGTGCCCTGGCAATGACCTTCTCATCCAAAAGAGCAGGTACTTTAAAACTCTTTCCGTCCCAACCAGTGTACTATGTATCAGCTATCGCCTGTGTGTTCTCAGCAACCAATAGTGTGGCTTGTTGTTTAGCCTAAGCACACTACAGAAACCTGGCTGATTATTGTACTCCCCAAGACAGGAATGTGTTGCTAAATCTGTGACAGTCAGGTTATCAAATTATTTCTTCTTCTGCTATCATCATTTATCAAAACTTATATTTACAGTATCCATTGTTGCCCTTGGGAATGTACAACCAAGTCTGGTACTTCAAGAGTTAATATGCATAAGGCACATAGAAGCTTTCTATATTTCATCACTATCTGAGTAGACAAAGTTTCTAACCCACTACTCAAATATCCGGAGGACACAGCTTTGCTGTCCCAAACTGGATTCAAACCTACAACTTTTTAAACAGATGTCTTAGATCTAAGCCACTCCGAGCCTCAAGGCAATCATTATTTTGGAAGAAATTGAAGAGCAAAGTGGGAGGGATGCAGATGGTGCTGAACTACTTGTGGTGTCAGCGCCACAACCAGGGCTCATACTGGTCAAGACCTGCTTATACCTCTCCAGTCATCCCAGGAACAGGTTCCCAAACTTGGACCTGGCTAAGGGAATGGCATTGTGGTGCTGGGGTGTCTGTGGATTACCTACCTCCCCAGGCAGCAGCCAAAAATGCCCTGTACCAGTTCTAAAGGAAATATGGGTTGTGTTTCTGCCTTCCCCTTTAACACGTAGCTAAGGTGGGGCTCACAGTGTGCTCATTCCCCGCCACCAGATTGCCTGCAGGTTTCGCTGAGCTCTTCATGGCTCTAAGCATGGCCTAAGCATGAGTAGTTGGGGCAACTTGATCGTCACGTCCTGAGTCCCTGTGCCTTCACGATAGTTTCCGGTATTCAGGGGGGGTTAGCATACTTGTTTCTATTCCTAAGACTGTTCAGCACACCTCTGGCTCCTTCCCTCCCAAAGGGGGCAGTACGGTGTGGTGCACCGGGTTTATTATCGAGGTTTGCTCCTCTAGATCCATTGTGTTTTGCCTGGGGATTCGCACCCCCAGTTACCAGGGCTACCTCGGGGAGGCTGTGACTCTTCGCCACGCACAATGGTCTTGAGGTAAGAGAGGTTTTGCTAGGTCAAGAGGCTGACACCACAATGGACGCTCCTTTCGTGAACAGATATTCACTAGACCTAGGGTGAAGTAAGGGGGGGAACCCACTACCCACAACACCAACACTTCTTACCCCCTCCCATCGATGGACCTGGCCAAGGGAACAGGGGCTAAGGGAACAGGTTCCCATCGATGGACCTGGCCAGGGGAACAGGGGCCAAGGGAACAGGTTCCCATCGATGGACCTGGCCAAGGAAACAGGGTCCAAGGGAACAGGTTCCCAACCAGGGGCCGGGCCAAGGTAGACACGATCAACATTTCCTTTGAAGTCTGAGTGCATCTGTCTGAGAAGCAAGGAACCAACAGTCCGTGCACAGATCTGTAAAATGGATGTGCACTCCAAACACAAATCCTCAAACAAGACTCAAATCCATAAGCAGATGAACCATCAGCACTTTCCATCAAAGTTTAAAGCCAGTGGTGGATGTGAAGAATGTGAGACGATACAATACAGCACTTACTACTTGCTGGGCGTGAAGAGGACTTTTTTTCCTGAGTTGCTAGTCAAAGTTTCCTCGGTGATGACTTCATCCAGTGCAGGGATAGACACAGGTGATGGACAAGGGGGAATTCGCTCTCGGATGCCATAAAATGTACACCTCTTTTTTACTTCTGCACCACAGCAAAATCTGAGATGTTTAGGAAAATTAATTGCCTCTGTTGCACCTTTCAGAGCAACATCACATCATTTCATTTTAAAGTTTTTCTGGCTTTTAAATAAAACATATGATTTATAGACAGCAATTGTGATTTCAACAATGAAACAACAGCAAAGGATTAATTGACATCACTGCATGCTCCACTCTTTTCCCCAGAAGTAAACACAAAAAGTTCTCAAATCAATGATGCTACCTGTTAGCCGATTAAATGTTTGTTTTTTTCCCCCTGCAGGTAGAAAATCATCCAGAAGCTCCTCTCGATCCCCAGCTGAATCATCCAGACGCTCCGCTCAATCCCCCGTTGAATCATCCAGACACTCCGCTCAATCCCCCGTTGAATCATCCAGACACTCCGCTCAATCCCCCGTTGAATCATCCCGACGCACCGCTCAATCCCCCGTTGAATCATCCAGATGCTTCGCTCAATCCCCAGTTGAATCATCCAGACGCTCCGCCCAATTCCATTGAATCATCCAGATGCTCCGCTCAATTCCATTGAATCATCCAGACGCTCCGCTGAATCCCCAGTTGAATCATCCAGATGCTCTGCTCATCCTCTCCAGATATGAATGTTGTCAATTTACTGCACTTTTCACTTGATCCCAGAAATCCTTGATTGATGAACTTCAAAGTGAGTTCATACACACATGCACTCGCACGCAAACACAGACACACACAGCTGAATGTGAGTTGACCACGGGCAGACCAAGAAGGCGGTGGAAAGATTATATAGAGGCAGGTCTACAAACACTTAAAGTCACCAACTGGAAAGAGGAGGCCAGTCCAGAGATGAAATGATGCGCATATCTTCAAGAATGGAGAAGCAGCATTGAGTTTACCACCAAGTTACATTCAGTAATTTGTAGGGCTGTACCGAATATTCGCTTCGTATTCGCTTCGGGGCCGAATAGTGGACCTAATAACTATTCGGTATTCGGCCGAATAGTTGCGGTCGGGCCGAATACGAATAGTCGTTACCTTACACCCGTTTCTGGACTGGTGGAAAATAAACATATCAAGATTTTCCACCTTGGTTCATACTGTCAAGCGTTATGTTTGTGCACCATCTACGAGCGTACCAAGTGAACGTCTGTTTAGTACAGCTGGAAATACCTTCAGTGAGACGAGAAGCTGACTTAATGCTGACAACATGGAACGATTTTTGTTTTTTTGTTTTTTTTTAAAGCTAATGCCGCTTTCATGGATTAACTAAGCTGTCAGTGACAATTTACAAGTTTAGTCACTTGTAAAACTAAGAATACTTTCATTCCTAGGTATTAGTTGCCACAGACTGACTGACTGAAGGATGCAAAACATGAAATGTTTTTAAGTGTTTACTATTCTGTATTACATTCTGTGAAATAAAATGTCAGTGTACATTTGACATTTTGGATGTGGGTTTTTTTTTAGATCTATTTTATACACGAAAGTGGAAGAATTGGCATCAGTTTGAATAGTGGGAAGACAGAAGTAATGGTGGTATCAAAGAAAATAATTAATTCTAAATGTGTAATAAAAGTCAATGGTTTTATTTTGGGACAAGTACGGAAATTTAAGTATCTGGGCACATGGATAACATCAGATGGAAGATACATTACTGAAATAAGAAACAGAATAGGCAGGCAAAAACTGCATTTTATAAAATGAAGAACATCTTATGCAATATATCTTTGTCACTAAAGATTAGAAAAAGAATTCTTGCTTGCTACATACATTCAGTTTTAACATATCGCTGTAAGTCCTGGACAATCGGTAGGCAGGCCAAACAATTTCTTGAGGCCTCAGAGATTTGGTTTTACAGAACAATGCTTAAAATACATTGGACAGCCCAAAAGAGCAACCAAGAGGTTTTGAAAGAGGCGGGAGCCCGAAGACAACTTATCACAGACATCAGAAGGAGACAGTCATTATTTTTCGGCCATGTTATAGGATGAGGGAAAATGGAACATGTGGTGACCACTGGAAAGATCTGTGGAAGGAGGGATAGAGGAAGACATCGATAGAAGATTCTTGACAGTCTTGTTGCATGGCATGGAGGTGTGTCCGCACAAGAACTAATACATACTGCAGGAGATCGCAGATTGTAGCGGGGCATAATTGATCATGCCAGTTGGTAAAGCACCTGATGATGATGATTCACTATTCGTATTCGGCTGAATAGTTGGTCCTGCTATTCGCATTCGGCCGAATAGTGAAAATCACTATTCGGTACAGCCCTAGTAATTTGCAAATATTTTTGTTTAAATCTCTGCAAAAGCTGTTTGCTAACAAATCACATGCAGCCAACTTTGATCACTCTAGCCTGGGCTATGAAAGGACATTCTTCATGTTGACCGGCTGTACACTCGGGCGGAAAGTTCTAGCTGTTCATCAATATCTGGACTTGAATCTTGTTCCAGAACCTGGGTGTTGCATGCACATCCGTTTAACAGATACGGCTGACATGTATGCAGTCTGTTGGTTCCTCACCTCTCAGGCAGATGCACTCTGACTTCGAAGGAAGCTTTATTTAGTCGACAATATGCTTTTTGAGCAGGCAGTGGGTCTATTCCTGTTTTCCTTACAATATGCTTTTTGAGCAGGCAGTGGGTCTATTCCTGTTTTCCTTACAATGAGACCCCGAAATCCACATGGAAGAAAGTACATTTACAATCTCTAAGCTATGACTTACACTGAATATCTTCTTCTGTGTTCCCCCTCAAAGGGGTGGATGGCATGCCGTGTTTTTCACAGCTAGGCTGCGATATACCCGACTACAATTTTAGAAAACTCTTAATTAGTCTGTCGGCGTCTGTGGCTTAGACGTTACGAACGTGCTTCGCAATGCCGGGATGCCAGGTTCAATCCTAACTGCGAGCCTTGCGCTGGTTTTGACAGAGGTATCGAGAAGCGGACCATCCAGAAAGCAATGGCATACTACTAGACCCAAATTTGCCTATAAAAACCACAACAGCCAAAAAAAATGCTGGGGTTGGTTCTGCAACATCCTGTACAGGATACACAGCTAACTTAACTAGCCACCTTTTAGGACATGCTTGTCAAGGCAGAGTCTGTTATATATTTTACCCCAAAATCTGGCCCAGAAACCTGCCAGGTAAGCTTATAATATGAGTCCTCACTGCAATCATAGCACCACTAATATAATGTTTGGGATCAAGGGACACATCAGCTCCTCTACACAAATCATGGGCAGGATCTGTCTAGAATGTCACTCCCATCATAGATAGCAAGTGGGGATCCCAATCCTGAAATGTCTTGTGGCTCATGAAAGTTCATGCATAAGTTGTCTAATGTCCATCATCATCATCATGTCTGCGGGCCAAGCATTCCATCTTCTCTTCCAGAGACTATGCCTCTCACGACTGTACTTTCTTCTTTTTTTTTTTTCTTCATTCATTTGAGGAAGTAATTGCATTGTGCCCGTTTACTGCGAAATCTGCCCTTTTCGGTTGACACATCAGACTTCTTCAAGCAATTGTTGCCTGGGTTAGACAGCCCCCTCCACCCAAACCACTGTGTTTGATGTACCAAAAGTTCCCAATGTTTGATATTTTTTATCAGCCAGTTTTATCATCCTCATAATGTTCTTGTACAATGTTAGTATTTAATTTATTTTTTGAAGTAGATTATTCTGAAAAAGTTTCTGCAACACTCAATGCTTAAGCCTAGATTTTCTTTTTGATCCCCTATATTCTAAGATAAGATTTGGTAATACTGAAATTCAAAGGCTTCCCTATCAACGAAAAAAGCCCAGCTGAACTAAACATAAACCATGACATGAATGTCTGTACTCACTGTGTGGTGTGTTTCTGTAACACTTTTACCAGCTCGTTACAAACAGCTGAACTAAACATAAACTATGGCATGAACGTCTGTACTCACTGTGTGGTGTGTTTCTGTAACACTTTGACCAACTCGTTACAAACAGCTGAACTAAACATAAACCATGACATGAATGTCTGTACTCACTGTGTGGTGTGTTTCTGCAACACTTTGACCAACTCGTTACAAACAGCTGAACTAAACATAAACTATGACATGAATGTCTGTACTCACTGTGTGGTGTGTTTCTGTAACACTTTTACCAGCTCGTTACAAACAGCTGAACTAAACATAAACTATGACATGAATGTCTGTACTCACTGTGTGGTGTGTTTCTGCAACACTTTTACCAGCTCGTTACAAACAGCTGAACTGAACATAAACTATGACATGAATGTCTGTACTCACTGTGTGGTGTGTTTCTGTAACACTTTGACCAACTTGTTACAAACAGCTGAACTAAACATAAACTATAACATGAATGTCTGTACTCACTGTGTGGTGTGTTTCTGTAACACTTTGACCAGCTCGTTACAAACAGCTGCACGACTGCCGTGGTGTCCCTGAAATGCAAGTTTCCAAACACACATGACTGCACATTTTGATTTCAATTCAAGACATTCAAGGGGCAGTTTAGGACATAAGAGTAGGACCAATACTAGCCAAGACATTGGAACATCTCTCCCTGATGCGGCTCATCAACAAACTAATGTTCCAGTCTGGACTATGTATCAAGGTTCAACATGCCTCTTGTGGGCATGAGGCTCTTCTTTTCGCTCCCTGCCAGTGGTTTCCAGAGGAAGCTTCAGGACTATAAAAATAGTGGTGTCAACCACTCTTCTCCTTCACATTCACAAGCTGTAAACTCCAGCAGAAAGTTGTGGTTGTTAATCCACTTCTGGACCTTGGTCTTGTTACAGAACTTACCTTTTGCATGCGCATTTTTACAAATCTGGCTTATTATTATGCTGACTGGTGGTTCGTCATCTCTCAGTAGGATGCACTACGACTCCACCTATAATTAATTGTCTTTTACACTCTTGGAGAGGGGTGGAAGGGGGTCTATCCCCCCCCCCCACCAAGAAATGGGGCTCCAGACCCCAAGGAAGTGTCCTCCCTGACCTATACAATCATGTCTGTCAGTTACTTTTGGTTATTTAATATTGCACAGAGTATGTTTTAATTTAACCGGTTGAAGGAGTATAACATATAAAGTTTAACATATTTTAAGTGTACTTTTTAAAGTAACTGATAATCACATTGTGAAATCTATATTTTTGAAAGACATCCACAGACTCGAGTACAAACAAACAAGTACAAACAAACAAGTACAAACAAACAAGTACATACAAACAAGTACATACAAACAAGTACATACAAACAAGTACATACAAACAAGTACATACAAACAAGTACATACAAACAAGTACATACAAACAAGTACATACAAACAAGTACATACAAACAAGTACATACAAACAAGTACATACAAACAAGTACATACAAACAAGTACACACAAACAAGTACATACAAACAAGTACACACAAACAAGTACATACAAACAAGTACAAACAAACAAGTACAAACAAGTACATACAAACAACTTACATTGAGCAACTTCTTCAGCCCAAAGCTGTCTGCTCGACTCAAAATAAATGGCGCAAGGTCAGACTCTAGGTCGATGTATCGCTTCCCCAGGGTCATGATCAAATGGAACAGCGTCACATAGGTGATGTCAAACCTGGACAAATAAAAACCATGTACTAAATTTCAAACTTGGACAAATGAAATCATGTGCTAAACATCAAACCTGGACAAATGAAACCGTGTGCTACATGTCAAACAAAATCAAAAGATAAATGCCAAACTTGTCAAATGAAACCAAATAAATGTTCAACTTGCCAAATAAAATCTGTGGCCATTGTCATAAGAAACTGTGTTACTAACAGTTCAGGGACGACCTAGACCAGTGGTTCTCAAATGTTGTGACCAAGTCACAGTTCCTCATGTTGTGGCGACCCCCAACCATACAATTATTTTTGTAGCTACTTCATAACTTCAATAAATATGTGTTTTTACGATGGTCTTTGGCAACCAATGTGAAAGGGTCATTTGACCCCAAATAAGATCACGACCCATAGGTTGTGAACCGCTTTCCTCAAACCAAGACTAACTAATTTTACTCCAGGATCAAAATGTTGAAAATGAGAATCATCACGTGCCAAGGCCTAAGTCAAAGCAGAGAAAGATCATTAAGACAATACAAGTGTCAATGATCCCCAGGCCACCTGCTAGATCTCTGCAGCCAGATTCAGGGTGCAGGTTACCAGTTGAAGAGCTCTATCCCATATTGCTGGTTTGTATTCATAGTAAACATGTCACGTGAGCCTACATTATCAGCGAACTAACACCCACAAGATGTGACTTTACAAAATGCTACTCACCAGGAAAGATCCATTCGCTGAATATATTCCACTCCGTAGTTGCAGTGAGCACAGGTAAATATGAAAAACCGATCCCCGATGAGCAATTCCTCATCCAGACACTGCAAGCATGCTGCGATAACAACAAACATTACAATTACGTGGATGTTACACCTTCCTTTGCCTGGCTGATGTGTATGTAGACTGTTAGTTTCTCATATCTCAGGCAGATGCTCTATGACTGGAGAAACTAGCCTTAATGACTCGAGGTTTACTACAGATTTGTCAGGGGGTCCACCCCAGCCCTAAATGGGAGCACCATATTCTTCAGCATTCTGGAGCTTGAGGTAGACTGCAGATATCACTGGCCTCCTTTGATCTGTTATTGGTCTTCCCTTTAGATCTGGTGTCTCTAGATCTGCTTGTTTATTATCTCTCCAGTGCTTTCTTGTTCTGCCTTGTGGTCTACTCCCACTGGAGTGTGAGTGAGAGAGAGAGAGAGAGAGAGAGAGAGAGAGAGAGAGAGAGAGAGAGAGAGAGAGAGAGAGAGAGTGTGTGTGTGAGTGAGAGAGAGAGAGAGAGAGAGAGAGGAGAGAGAGAGAGTGTAAGTGATAGTGAATGAGTGAGTGAAAGAGTGAGTGAGTTAGTGAGAGAGTTGGTGAGAGAGAGAGAGAGAGTGAATGACTGAGTGAGAGAGTTTTGAGAGAGAGAGAGAGAGAGAGAGTGACTGATTGTGAATTTTTTTGCTGCTTCTTACTTAATTTCTCAGCGGTTTTAATCTTTGGTAAGCCCAAAAATTATACCACTGCCCCCTTTTTTAATAATGTCGTGAAAGGCAACTAATAAGATTTTGCTGAAATCAGATACACTGGGCAAAAGGCCCAGATATCACAGCCTTGCTGTAAACCCTAACATAAAATGCCAACTGCCCTTGCAATGACCAACACAAAAATAAAAATAAAAGTCAAGCATTCTAAACTGTGCTGTGTTCCTCTGATGATATTTTCTGTGACTCTTTTAGATGTTGAGGGTCAGCAGGTAATAACTACTTGATAATGCAGTTTATCAATATGTTTTTTTTTTTTTTGGGCCAACATAATAACAGAAATAACAACAGATATAATATCAATAACAGACATAATATAAGAGGGGAAAGCAATACCTTCATGGAACCACTGACGGCATCTGCAACACTGCAGCATCTTGTTGTACCAACTGCAGAATGAGCAGAAGAATAACAGACCAATAATGAGCACAATAATAACAGCTGCATGAAAACTTGCAAGTTGAAATTTTATCAGCAAAAAAGAAATCTTTAAAAATATTTTTTCTCTTTTTAGTAATCTGTCTGAGAGGTAACTTTACAGTCTTTTCTCTTATACCGTGGGAGTGTCACTTCTTCTGTCCTGGAGTTAGGAGGTAACTTTACAGTCTTTTCTCTTCTACCGTGGGAGTGTCACTTCTGTCCTGGAGTTAAGAGGTAACTTTACAGTCTTTTCTCTTCTACCCTGGGAGTGTCACTTCTTCTGTCCTGGAGTTAAGAGGTAACTTTACAGTCTTTTCTCTTCTACCCTGGGAGTGTCACTGTACCTTATACTTATAGTAGTCTCTCTCTTCAACCCTGGCAGTGTGAAGGTATCTGGGTCTTGTTTAGTCTTCCTTATTGAACCCCAGCGGTGCAAAGATATTTTACATACTTTTTCTTTTTTCTTCCATTCTGATGGTAGATGTACCATACATTCCTCCTCCTGTCCTGGAATCTAAAGCTAATAAGGACTCTTGATTATGCTTCTTTTCTGCTCTGATATTTAGTAAAAACTGCAGCCAGATATACCTGCTAACTGACAGTCACCGATATCAACTAACTAACAGAACTTTCAGCAATGTGTAACTGAGATCTGTAATGGAAGCAAAGAACAGTTATACCACAGTCTCCTATAAATGTTCTGGGAGACTACTAGAGATCTGTAATGGAAGCAAAGAACAGTTATACCGCAGTCTCCTACACATGTTCTGGGAGACTACTAGAGATCTGTAATGGAAGCAAAGAACAGTTATACCACAGTCTCCTATAAATGTTCTGGGAGACTACTAGAGATCTGTAAGGGAAGCAAATAACAGTTATACCACAGTCTCCTACACATGTTCCTGGGAGACTACTAGAGATCTGTAAGGGAAGCAAAGTACAGTTATACCGCAGTCTCCTACACATGTTCTGGGAGACTACTAGAGATCTGTAAGGGAAGCAAAGAACAGTTATACCGCAGTCTCCTACACATGTTCCTGGGAGGCTAGTAAGCAGGTAGACGTGAGACGTAATTTATCTGTATCAAACTTCAGCTGCAAAATCCAAACATGTACACAGAGGTTATAGAGGTAACTCTGCACTTTGTGCTCCCCTGGAAGATGACTAGAAGAAGATGCACGAAACAAACAAGGAGAAGGAAGATGTAAAAGAAGAAAAGAAAAGAAAACATGTACAAAGAGCAAGTGGAAGATCAGACAAAATATGGAAGGGCTGTATCAGTGCTGCCTTAAAGAAATGAAGATCACTTAACTCATTACAAAAAAGCAAACCGAAGTGTTCCTTACAACTAATCCTAATACTTCACTCACTGAGTAACTGAGGAAAGTGAAGAAAACAAAGACATTGTTTTTTAAAAATAAACTCATTACAGATTCAAGAATCGACATCATAGCACACCGGGCATACCCACAGATGCTCCGTCTCGTCCAGCAAATGTCTTTAAGTGTAGATGCTAATAGTTCCCATAGCATACTGATACTACACAGGTGTTCTCTTCCTCTCCTCCGTCCCTCTTTGCCAAATCCATTCCTAGTTCCATGTTCACACATTCTTACACTTGTTTTTTCATCTAACCTTGTGTCCACAGCATTCGTTCATAAATGGTCTTCAGAACATCTCCTTTGTCAATTACGAGTGATCCCGTAGCTATTGTTTTCATAGCCAAAAAATTATCTCTCTCATTCCCTCGCAGACGCTACATCCGCACGAGTTCTTGTAGTGCTGATGCTAGGTATACACACATTATAATTCCTCTGGTAACTCTTATTTTCTGCTATCCACTTCAAAGCTGCGGTTATTGCATTCATTTCATCCTCAAGCTGTATTTTTTTTTTTTTTATTGTGTTCTGCCACGACATAACAATAGACTAAAAATAAATACCAACAGTAACCCACCAACAGAGAAACAATCTGGCCTGTTCAACCTTAGTGAAGACAAAGATGTATTGTATAGGGGAAGATATGGACTGTATGATAACTTTCATCATGGCTATCAGACTCTTGGTATAAGCTTTCTGGCAGAAGGCTCAAAGAAGAAGAGGAAGAAGAAGAAAAGGAAGAGCAGGAGGAAGAGGAAGAACAGCAGAAGGAGGAGGAGGAGGAAGAAGAAGAACAGCAGAAGGAGGAGGAGGAGGAAGAAGAAGAAAAGGAAGAGCAGGAGGAAGAGGAAGAAAAAGAACAGCAGGAGGTGGAGGAGGAAGAAGAAGAAGACCAGAGATGTAAGCAACTCCTTCACCTCTAACACTTACATGCCCGGACCACCGCAGTAACAGAAGCATTGTTCCACGTTGCTGGTGTGTGTGGCATTCCATGTCAGGTACTTGATCTAAAGTTCAAATATTTTACTTTACGTTAAAATATATATTTTTTAAGGTTTAGTTTTAACAAGTCCCATATTAAATAAATAACGTCCACATGATAGAAATGTAAAATTATGTCACAAATAAACAACAAGTTAAAACTGCTGTAAACTGTAAACGCTAAGAGTCAATAATATTCTAGACTTGTATTTAATTTATTCTGAGCCAAGCAAATTACACAACTTGTACTATAACATGATATGCTACAGACATTAGCCTAATATAACTAATCTCCACAAAATTACACATCTTCAATAATTATTTAAAGATAAATAGGACTATAAGAGAAGGAAGGAGAAAGAAGAAATGAATAGCAAAACAGGAAAAATAAGAACACAGAAGCAGTTAGAGAGGTAATACTCTATAAAGACTACAAATAAGAGAAACAGACTTGTTTCTTTCTAGATAATACTCACATCGTAGGGAAAATACTGTTTCATTTCTGCAAACTTAAAAGCTGGAAAAGAATAGAAAAAAAAAAGAACAAAAATATACATTTCAATCAGATTTTCAATTCTTGCAGGAATAAAGGTTTTTCTGATTACTGGATACACATTTATAAATTCTCAATACTTTAGACGAGATGTTTTAGGAAAGCTGCCGGAGTTACAAGAAGAGACACAACTTCAAGTGAAGAATTAGACAAAGACTGAAACCAGTCCTATAGTTCATTAAACAGCAGATGAGATGGTTTACACATGTGACGAGAATGTCCTGGCACCAACTGCTGGTCTAGATGGTTTGGCCAACTGACAAGAATCTCCTGGCACCAACTGCCATAGAGAACCATGCTGAACACATATAATGGACACAGAGCAAGAAGACCAAGCAGAAGATCAAACCACAGCATCAAGAACAGCATTAAAGAAATTAAGATCTACTTATACAATCCATTAGAAAGAGCACACTGAAGATTCTTACACCCCTCACCCCCCAGCACTTCGATGAGGTAATTGAAGGAGGAGGAAAAGAGGAGAAGAAGCATACTTAAGAACAACAGTCTATTATTATTAACTTAGATGTTAATGCAAATTCACGACAAGTTTGGTTGTAGATAGGAAATAATTCAACATTCACGTTGTCTGCTGTAAACTCTATATACTCAAGCCATCTGGTTATACTATAAAACATTAATACAACATTCAATCTGACCCTCCCTAAAACGTGATTAACGTATGATTCGATTTAAATGGGGGGGGGGGGTGTCAGGATCTTCTATGCAATAGACAATTCTAGTCAGATGGGAAAACTAGCATGTCTGTTACTCTTTAATGAACTGTTAACATCTGTATACAGCAAAAGGAAAACTTGAAAGTTAACACCTACTGACATACATACAGAGCCTACCAAAAGAGTATGTTATTTTTTAAGGGGTTAACGAAGCAAACAGGTTAAAGCAGTCAAAGTGTACTGTCACTTTTATTGCAATGTGAATATGCAAAAAGTTAACATTAGTAAATCAAAGAATAATGTATTAAATGTGGAAAATGGAAGCATGTTAGATAATGTAAAGACTGAATTAACATATTTATACAAAGCAAATTTAGTAACTTACCTAGCGGGCCAGACTTTTTGGCACCACCTGTCTGAGAAAAGAAATAAAACTCAGAGAAACCAGAATAGGTAGCAACTTTGCAAATTCACATTCCATGCCAATTCGCACAGGTAAAAATGTAATGATCTCAACAGCAGCAGTTGTCCAAAAGTTCAGTTTTGTATCCTCAACAACTCAAGGAAAAGATGTCGGTTCAAAGACAACACCCTAACAGAGCCTCAGTTATAGAAGCAAAACAAAATGGCTGGAACTGACGAGGAGCAGTTCCGTTGTCCTGCACTTTGTCATGAGTCACAGCCAATAGCCACAGCGCATCCACGCATAAGGTTTTTGGAAGTCTTAAACAGCAGCAGATGTTTTGTTATTCGGAGGATAGCTGAAAATTGTCATTCTGTGACATCAGATTTAACAAATGAACTGCTATCAACATTTGTTTTGTTTCATTTTTAGTTAGCCAGCTAGTTAGGCTTGGAAACAAATTCCCGTTTTGGTGGGCTAGAAAACAATTTCCCGTTTTGGTGAGCCGCAGGTGTAAAAAAGTTGGGGGAAACCATTATTTTGTCTTCTGCATCTACACATGCCAGTCAGTAAGTACATCACAATCTGTTGGCCATGCTGTTTAAATGACCTCAAATGATCCCCTTGTACTATGAATAATCTGACACGACATGAACCTCCTGTGATGATACTTACCTTCTTCAATGTGTTGCATCCATCTTCGTGAGGGTCTGTTTCTGCCTTGTTTTCTGGAAACTATCCGCCAATACCCTTCTCTCCAGGCTTCTATGTTCAACATGGCTAAAATACCTCAGCTTGCGGGACAGGATGACATTGATGAGCCAATTCTCCTCAGTATTCAGATCATGTAGGATGTCTGTAGTTTTCTTCTTGGTTATTGGTAATTTAAGAATTATTCTGTAGTAGCTGTTCTTCATTGAAGTTCTGGACTTTAGTCTTGTTCTGGAACTTGGGTGTTGCGTAAACTTCAGTTTTACAGACCTTGCCTAATTTTGTATACAGGTTCCTTGCCTCTTAGGCAGATGTACAGGAAACCCCTCATAAGTTGACTCTTACGACAAGCTTGTTAACAGGCAGTGGTCTATTCTGGTTTCCCCCACAATGAGGCCCAAGAACCCACACACAGAATTTCATATCAAAAGCTCAGATTGTTTTCTTCAATGACTGGCTAACAGTCCATGACTCACATCCATAGGCTGCCATGAGAAAAAATCATGATCTCACAATTTAGAACTCTCTAGAGGCAACATGGCCGAAATATCAGGACGACACAAAGTAGCCAAAAGGACAACTGGGCTGATCCGTCGGCCCTAAGTAATACAAGCCTTGAGACTGGCTAGCAGGTTTTCATAATAGCCAATAAAATTGCTTCTTGCATTTCTTGCACATGTGGGCTGTTCATTGATGGCTTTCGAGAAAGTTTGATGTGTTGGGTAATGTTTACATCCATTTTTGTGTGTATAAACTATGAGAATCCCCTCCTGAAGGCTTCATCTTTTTGGCATTGAAACTCCAAAAAGGCTCCAACTCCAGAGAGTTTTGAACTCACTTGCAGGTACTGTACCATATGCTCTTCATGTTGTTAAGAAGATAATTAGAGTCACTGAATGCAGGAATGACATGGAATGAGTTGCACAAGATGGTAAAGGTATGGATGACTTGGTAAGAATTGGCTGTGTGCTTATGCTTCAGTTTTAGATCAAGGAAGAAAAAGAACTGTGCAAGTTTGACAGACTGTCAGGTGATCACATGGACACAACAAGGAAGGGAGATTCTCACCTGGGCACACGATGTAAACACACATATTCTGCAGACAAATTTGTCATCTGGTCCAGATGGAGTGAATGGTGGTATGTGGCACAGCTGGTGGTAATCTGGTGGATACAATACAAGGATGAAAATGATCTGGAGATAAACACCAACATGAATAATGAAAAAGCAATGTGATAGCCATGTTGCATGATTTGCTTTGTGGTCATACAGATAACTGGGAGCAATATTATGGTAGGAGATAAGACACAATGAAGTACAGGGTGTTTTTAAAGTTTCACTACGCTTGTATGCAGAATAAACTTTTAAAAAACCTAAGTACATGTGTCATAAAGTCATTAAATGAATTACAATAGTTACTGTAGTATGGTATAACACTGTTTGAGTTAGGCTGGAAAGTACCGAAGTAATACTCATTACAACAGATCTTGGAAATGTCCAGCATGGGCTTAAAGACATAGTTGTACATGTTTCTTCATATTATCAAATATCTCCTGCAAGGTATTATTATTTCTTGAATGGTCATTCTAATTGCTTCTACTAATGACACCATTCTGTTTTGAGTGTAAAGAATCACTCCAATAGATGACAGCCCTTTACTGCATACTGCTTCATGTTTGACTGTGGAGCACATTTTTTTATGATATCATGTACTTCATTTCACTAATTTGTTCTACACACAAAGTGCATTGAGACTTTAAAAAGACCCTGTATTACCAAATGAGAAGGGAGGAAAAAAACCACTGAATGAGATTATGGTTAGGCAGAGTCAGTCAAGTGTATCAAGAGAGACTGACTTAACTCTTTCATTCCCTAAAAGTTTCACAGTAAATGTCTAAAATGAAAACTTAGGGAAAATAAAATGTCACTACTTTTAAAGAAATTTCACAGAAAAAGGGCCACTGGGAAAGCCAGATATCATCCATATGCTCTGTGCATATGTGAACAGTAAAAGCCCATAATATGTGAATGCAGCAATTACAGAAGACGAGCAAACCACACACCATTCACTGCCTGGGACCGAAAGAGTTCAAACAAGTGAAGTTCAAGAACAGTGGAAGGCAATCATTGTTTTTGTACTGTCTGTAGCTTCAACTATAAAATATATGAAGTACTATAGACCCCACACACACACAAAACTAATCACTAGAGGTTGCAGTTTAACAGAAGACAGGTCACCGAACTACTGCCAGGTTTCTCTTCTCTGGGACAGACGCACTACAACTCCCCCCCCCCCCCCCATTCCCCTAATTAGGCGGCTTTTACAATTTTGTTGTTGTTTGGGGGTCAGTGGGTCTATAGTCTTTTTTCCCCTGCTAACTGGGCCCTGGAAGGGGCACGTTATTGTTCTTCAGTTAATATCCAAGCCTCACAATGGTAACACAATGTTGGAATGAAGATTGTCAATTGGAATTCATATTCGTCTATGCCACTAATAATTTTTGTTTAATTCGTTCTGTTTTTCATTGAAAATTTTAACAAGTAAATATTTGTCCCTTCTCCAGCATGGCCGACAAGTTATCAAACGAGGAAAAAGAGGATGACAGTGCAGAAATTAAGGGATGGCTGTCCACTTGGGTAAAAACTGGCTTTTAAGGGTTTTAGTCGAGAAATGGTACCCAAACATAGCAATACTTAATATGTATAACAATTCATTTGATGACAATGTGTTTGGACGCATTGTGACATTTTTTAACAAACAACACTAGACAAATTTATTTTTTAAAACTGGTACTGGTGAATCACCTGGAAAGGAAATGGTGAATCACCTGAAAATGATGAATCACCTGGAAATGCAAATGAATCATCAGGATCAATCACCAGAAGTGACATTACCTGATGTCATAATGAAAGGCGACTCCCCTCCCAAACAATAACCATTTTCTCATCCAAAAGTTATATTTATTTCACAACTGTATTTATGTATTTCTATAGTCTATTTGCATCATTAGGACAAGTATATCTCTGTCATAATTATTGAGCAAAATAAGTGCTGTGGTTAATATGTTATTGCAATGATTTCCGAGTTGAATTTTTGAATAACGTTTTTGGTTTGTAAAAAAAAAAAAAGATAGGTGAAATTTAGGCCTGGGAACGGATTAAATCCTTTTTAGTTACTTCCAATTGAGGAAATTTGTCTGATATTTGTTCTTTTTAATATACGTCTTTCCCTTAGGAATGGATTAATGAGGAATATATATAATTTGTCTTTTTATCTCTGTTGGAATAACAGATTAAGGTAAGCTGATAAGTAATGATGAACACAAAACAAGCCTAAGCTTGCAAGAAAAGATATAAAAAACAAAGAATACAGTAATTAGCACAAGCAATACCTCTGTCACAGTTTTCACATTTGATGAGTGCATTCGACTGCTCCACCTCTTCTTTGCCGCAGGAATGACACACAGTCACACCCTCTTCCTTCTCTGTAAGCACAACATTAGAATAGTTATTTCTTCACATTCATCATAAAGTTCTGGTTGTTCATCCATTTCTGGTCTCTAGACCCGGTTTAGAACCTGAGTGTTGAGTGCATATCCGTTTTACAGATCAGATTTACTTGTATGCAGACTGCTGGTTCCTTGTCTTGCTCTCAGATGCAGTCTGACTTTGAAAGAAGCTCTAAATTACTCAACTCTTACACCATGCTTGTAGGCAGGCCGCAGGTCTATTCTTGTTCTCCCCCACAATGGGACCCAGGAACCCACACAAGAAAGAATTGTTAGTTGTTATTTCAATTGTTCATACAGATGTGTACAAGAAAAAATTCTGGAATATTATATCAAACCTGCTCTACTGTGTGGCAAAGAATCTTTCAATACGAACATATTAGGAACAGCTTGGAGGCAATGACTTGGTTCCTGAGATAAATACTGCAGATACCTGGCACTGACAGAATAATTCATGACTGCACTGACAAAGAGAATGAACACTGAACAGTACACACAACTGAAAGAAGGAGATGAACAGTGTTCTTTGGCCATGTAATTAGAAAAACGCTAGAGGAAACACTGCTGGTTGAAAAGATCAGTGACAAAAGAGGCTGAGGAAGGCTGATAAGAAGAAGAGGAATGTCTGCAAAGCGTCTAGAGTACCAAGTTCTGTTTAAAGAGACAAACACTAACACCATTCAGCAACATACAGGCTGATGCTGATGTGTAACAAAAAATTAACAGCTCTAAAGAACAGTAACACAATTCCACAACAACGAGCTCCATCTTCTTCTTTGTGGGCATAAACTCTGGTGGAAAGTTGTGGTTATTTATCCACTCCTGCACTTTAGTCTTATTCTCAAATTTTAGTTAAAGGATCTGACTTATGTGCATGCAGACTGTTGGTTCCTCGCCCTCAAGCAGATGCACTTCAACTTTGGAGGAAACACCACTAATTAGTTGCCTTTTACGACATGCTTGTTATGTGGGGGAAGTGGGTCTATTATTTGCCCCAAAAAATGGTTCTGCAAAACCCACACAGAAACAAGAGCCAATAACCATGCCATAGGACAGAAGCAAAAATTACATTGAACACCTCATATAACACATTGTAGTTACTTTCAGGTGTGTTTAGTCAGGAATAACTGGCTAGTTACTGGGTAAACTAGGTAATAAATGTATCCAGTTACTTTTATAACAAGTTATGGCTAGTTACTGAGTAAACCAGGCCAAAAAGGTATCATTACTTATATTACTAGTTACTTATTATTCTAGGTCCTTATATAGTAGAAGTCCATCTGGCTGAAAGGTGAGGAACAAACAGTCTGCATACAAATAAGTTAAATCTGTAAAACAGATGTACACACAAGACTCAAACTATGGAAAAAGAGGTAGCTCTTGTAAGGCACAAGAAGTCACGATAAGAACTGTTTGTGCCACTGACAAGAAAAGCACATGGTGAGGAACCGGTTACAGTGCTGCCCAGCAAAACAAATTTGCACCGAGTGATAGTTACCTTGGTCAGAGAGTGCCGGGAGTGGATAAACGGTGAAACAGAGGCATCAGTGCAAGAGCTGCTCAATGAAAATTCCCAGTCAGGACACATCGTTATATACACAGATAGATCTGTAGTGAGAGGTTGTAAGAGTTGGTGGGGTTTTATTGCAAAGGTGAATGGACTCTGAAAACAGACAGCCTTGTGTATAATGTCACAACATCCAGTATGAGAATGGAGGTGGAGGTGGTAATGGCAGCTTTCTGATTGCTGGAGAGCAGCACAGTTCAACATCTGGTAATTGTAACAGACTCACAAACATGCTTCGGAAAGTAGAAAGTGGTGTCCTACGATTTGAGTGGCTTGCTTCGCTTGAAAAGACTCAGATCAGGAACACAGAATATTCGGGTGAGCGAGGTAATCAGCAGGCTATTAGATTTGCTGCCACAGCTCCTTTGGGTGGTAAGCTACTTTATGACACAGCGGCTGTGGTAAAGGCTCTCTGGGATCAAATGGACAGTGCAAAAGAACTGGCTGAGAATCCATACATTGATTATTTAGCAGTAGCGAGCAGAAGATATGGAAGATATTCAAGACTGGAAAAGGGGGAGGAGGGGAGGGACAGAGGGATTTTCAATCAGATTGCAACTGGGACAATCAGCATACTGACTCTTCGTTGGCTACTGGAGAAGGAGACGGAGCACATCTAGGAATATCATGAGTGCAGTGATGTCAGTTTTTCATTCAGTCCAGAAGTGGATGAACAACCAGAAATTTCTGCTGGAGTTTACAGCCGGTGAAAGCTAAAAAGGTACTAGGACAATAAAATGGAGGAAAATCATCAACAGAATTGATGGAGAACATTGAGGACCAAGATCTGTGCAGAGACACCAGAACCTACACTTTCCAGTTGGCACAAGATGATGGTGGTGAGGACAACAGACACAAATCATTTCTGCTTCAGTGATCTGTAGTAAAGCTGTCTAAAAATTTGGAAGCCATCACAAAATGCTATACGGATCATCAGCTACCCACCTCCTAGCAAATCTTTGAACTGTACGGTAGCTACTGACTTGTCCTCAAACTCCACGACACATGTCTTGCTTGTATCTGAAATCTATCAACAGTAAAGTTAATAGCTTCCATCCACATGTCTCTCTCTTTCTTTTATGCACATAAACGTACTCTGAACTGCTTATACATTAAAATTACTGCTGTCTATCTTCTGCATTCATCTTTATAAGAGCTGTTGGCACAGTGTGATGTGGTTTACAGACAGACTGTGATATCTGCATATTTCAGCCCAACACATCCAACTGCAGCACTCTTAGTTTGCCACTTACAAATTGTTTGTTAGGGGCATGTGGGTCCCTCCCCACTTTCCTCAAAATGGGACCCAGAAACCCACACAGATATTACTGTCATTCATGAGGTCAATACATGCAAACACAGGTAGGAGCCAACTATGTCCCTCTACTACTGCTCTCAGCAAAACACAACCCAGCTTCCTTGTACACATGTGTGATGTAGATTTTCTAGCTCCTCTTAATTCTTTACATTTTGGTCTTTAGTGCATGTTCGTTAGTATGACAAAGCAATGTTCACCTTCTTTATTTATTTTTTTTTTTTTTTTCGTCATCTGCATCCAGCCTTAAAGGATGGTGTCGTGGATTAAAGTAGGCTGCAATATCTGCCTTTCAGCTTTATAAATCTTTTTCAGCTAACTTCTAATTAGTCTCATGTTATGGCATGCTGTCAGGGAACAACGAGTCTTATCTGCTGTGCCCCCGAAACGTGACCCCAGAATGCACAGCGGAATGATCAAGAGTTATCTAGTTTTCCCCCAATGTCTCAAAGCACAGTTCTTTAACAAGTCGTTCACATGCATTGATGGGCCGTGAAAACATCCTGGCCGTCCATCAAAAATGAATGCCAAAACATGTAGCGAGTATATCAGGCATGCCAAACTAGCGGCCCGCTGAGCTCCCTGCAGATCTCTGCACACACCTGTCAACTGTCATTACTGCCTTCATTTACCACTTCTGCGATGTAAGCAGGGGCACCTTTTGAGCCTGAGGACTGCAGGCCGCATGACTAGTGCTGTCGCCACAACTGTACAGGTGAGGATTTTATTTTGCAATACAAATGTGGAACTAGCTTTATGTGCCCGATGTGCCGAAAGTGGGGAGGGGAATCAGTTTATTTTTTTAAACTTCTACTTTTTTTTTAAATACCATGATCTATCCAGCCCCATGGTCCCTTGTCTCACCTCCATTCACTGCCATTTGTTTAGTTATCTCTTAAAGCTTTTTTGTTAGTGATTCTGTCACATCATATGCTCCTTAGCATTCACCAGCTGTAAACTCTGACAGTAAGCTATGGTTGTTCATCCACTTCTGGACTTGTCATTGTTTTATTCAACATTTCAGTGCATCAGCCTGAGAGGTGAGCAACCTGCATACAAATATACAAATAAAGGATATGTGAAATGGATGTGCACACATCACTCAAGTCCTGAAACAAGAACAACCAGAACCTTTAGTTGAAATCCTGTCAAAACGAAGAAGAGAAAAGTTAAGACAATGAACATTTATTTTTAGAAACTAATTAATAAAAGAAGACATTTACCTTCGTAATTTTCACACAGTAGAACAAACCATCTGTCCAACGAGCAAGCAACATGTCCTTTTTTATTTTCAATCGCAGTGGGGATGTCATCAATTTTTTCTTCTCAATTTTTCTTGGCTTCATGGCCAAATTGTTCTGCATTCAACAATCAAGGGAAGCAAGCATAACAAAACACCAGTATCCAACAGCTCAATTTCAGCAACGCTTTTCTGCACCTCTTGACAACAGTTACAGCTTTCAGGTCTGAGAAACAAACAGAAAACAATTTTAACAAACACTCAGCAATCATATTTCATCACTCTGATTTGATGTGTAACAACGGGTTTAATGTTTGCATGAATTTGGAATTAAGTGTGGATAGTCACAACAACAAAAAAGCAAAAAAGTTGTATGAGAGAAAAAGTACAATGTGTGTACAACCAATGTGTGTACAACCAATGTGTGTACAACCAATGTGTGTACAACCAATGTGTGTACAACCAATGTGTGTACAACCATGTTTGTATTTTTCTAGGTGCCCAAGGCAAAAAGGTTCAAGTCTCAAGCTTAAATAACCACCAGCCTGTTGTAGTCGGAGATTAATTAATTCACTTGCTGTAAATGCCGTCCGTCACAAATGTATGGTTGTTTTTCTTCTTCTGCAAAGTTCTGGTTGTTGGGTCTAATTCTGCACTGCAGTCTTGCTCTAGAACTTGAGTTTGTGAGCACATCTGTTTTCTAGAACCGGGACAGTTGATAATTCAACTATATATCTGTACATTTAACTGCCTCAGATATTTAAAAACTGAAGACAGTGTTATGCTATTTTTCTTGTTGTCTTTACTGCCGTGTCCTTTATTTACCACTTTTTGGGACAGTGTAGAGCAAGGAAATCAAATGGTTTGGGACAGTGTATGACAAGGAAATCAAATGGTTTGGGACAGTGTATGACAAGGAAATCAAATGGTTTGGGACAGTGTATGACAAGGAAATCAAATGGTTTGGGACCATGGGTCCCTTGCAGTCAGTACTTTAATGTCAAGTTACAATACATTATGTACCCCCCCCCCCCCCCCCCCGGTTGTCGTTCAAAGGAGTGCCGGACATAGAGCATGAGACAGACCAAGAACAAAATGGAAAGATAACATCAGAGAATGACATTTCCACAGTCAAGGCAGCCAGAAAAGCAGGAAGCAGAACCTTTTATCTCCCCCGACACCCAAAGTCGTACAAGAGTAAGTGAAGGTTAAGAAGAACGGGGCTCCATGGCTTAAAGGTTAGAGAATGGGCAACAATTTCATAATCCTTGACAACTAGGGCTTGTTCAGCGCGGTGGACAGTTTTTACCAAAGTTATGGTTTTGTACAATGGCACCGAGTCATAACGTGAAAGAAATTGGGACCTCATTATAAAATACTCCTAAAGACAACTGTGGTAAACTGTAGCCAAGTCCAAACTTCACTGTGAAGACAGCGCTCATGTGTTTTTTTGGCTATCCTCCGAATAACTGTCCCAAATTATCAAGGCCAAAAATATACCCTAACAGGGCCTCAGTCACATGTAAATTGAGGACTTCTTTCCAACAACTATACCGCCGAGAAGGAGATGAGGTAGCTGCTGCTAATAAGTCCCAGCCATCTAATTTAGCCCCGCTCTATGCCGCACGTAGTGGCGCGGAAGATACTTTCGGCGGTGACTTTAATTCGGCGGAAGCTTTTCTGCGGTATGCTGTGTAGTCGCCGGCAAGAGTTCCGCAATTTACATGTGACTGAGGTGGTGTTAGGGTGTTTTTTCGGCCTCAATAATTTGGGACCATTATTCGGAGGATAGCCTATTTTTTTAAGGACAGGCAGGAGTGGGAAAGGGGTATTATTTCTGACCTGATAGTGATAGAAAAAATATAAACCTTACTGAGGATTCTAACCTGGGAATGAGTGCTATTAACAACAGTTCTGAAATAAGGATTATAAGTATTTTTTAGGTACTAATCATTTCGTTAAAGCCTGCATGTGAAGTTTCAAATTATGCTTCACTTCACTGTATGGTCACATTCTACCAGGAAACATACACTCAATGAGACATATGAACTGTGAACTTAATATGACAGTTCCGATTAATATGTGATACACAACAGTGGGTGTCCTTCCAGGGCTTTCTTACTTCTAGGACTTGTTGAATGTAATGTTGGGATTATTTCCTGACTTGAGCAGGAAATATTATCATGTGAATTTTTTTAAATAAAATGTCTTTGTTACTTTAACTTGTTCTTTTGTGGTTAAACATATACTCAAGACGAAACAGCTACGCTCATACATACAACAGTCAAAGTGAAGTCAACATAGGAGGTAACCGTACCCAGCCCGAACGATTCGGATCAAGTGCACGGTTTCAAAGTCGTCTCAACGAGACTTTAAAAGCTATCGAGCTTGTTTTATTAAAGTCAATATTAAATTTAAAGTACACATTAATTTAATAACAAGACGACGAATCTGTATGCGTCAATGGCGCTGTTTAAATACATATTGCATAACTGTAATGAAGTTTAGTTTGCATCGGTCCAACAAACCTGTGGCCGTGCGAGGGGCGGCAGAAGATCTGATGGCACCTTGCCGATTTGAAAACAAGAAAAACTTTCATTTTACTTCTTATGCTATCAAAACCCCAAATAAAGATACTTACAATATCGCTGCTAACTGCACTGCTTTAAAATATGTGTCCGATAGGCGAATTTTGATAATACAATGTTACATGTGTGATTTCAAGACGATAGGTTGTGTTGTAGACTCCACAAGTTCTTTGCAATCTCCCGCCATGTTTTTGCAGCGGGCGTACGAATTCGACAAAACATGTTTGAAAATTGTACCAAATAAATCATCATGTTTGTTGGTGCATAAACACAAAATCTACATAAAAAATATTAAGGAAATTCAAATATATTAAGCTCCGATAATAACAGACAAATTTCTGTTAGCAAATCAACATGCTACTGCTGGACTATATTATGGCGAGATATCAAGGAAGTGAAGCATCAGACGGCGGCCTGTCATGGACACCTCCCCTCCCCTCCCCTCCCCTGCCAGTTTTCATATTTGATTCAGGCCCTGCCGCTGTAAGACTTTTGATATGTAGCGCAGCTGAACTATCAAACTGCAAGGCTGTGGCTGGATCCCACGTAAAGTAACGCGCAATAGCGATGTTGTGTGAATAATCATCTAGGGTCTTGGTCACTGGTGTAGGCGATGACTTACCATTTTCAGTATTTGATTGATAGACAGCTTAAACTCACCGTACCGATTTCAGTATTTGATTGATTGACAGCTCAAACTCACCTTACCGATTTCAGTATTTGATTGATAGACAGCTCAAACTCACCTTACCGATTTCAGTATTTGATTGATAGACAGCTCAAACTCACCTTACCGATTTCAGTATTTGATTGATTGACAGCTCAAACTCACCGTACCATTTTCAGTATTTGATTGATAGACAGCTCAAACTCACCCTACCGATTTCAGTATTTGATTGATAGACAACTTAAACTCACCGTACCGATTTCAGTATTTGATTGATTGACAGCTCAAACTCACTGTACCATTTTCAGTATTAGATTGATAGACAGCTCAAACTCACCGTACCATTAAACTTCAAAATTCCGGTTTGCGGATCAAATGTAAGCATCGACTGGTGTTGTTGTAAATAGTAGTCTAGGGTCTTGTCCACTGGCGTAGGTCGCAAGGCCACCAAAAAGCCACTCTATATGTGCGGTACTCTGTGGAGACCTGGTTTCAGTTTGATACGCTTCGTTGTCTCCACTGCCGTCATCGTCGCTTAGACGAGCAGCGGCCGGAGGAGCTTTGGGATTAACAAAAATTGGAGACACCAGATATTAAACTTTCCGATTAACCTGCAACGCTCGATCGCGAGTAGGCCTGAAGCCAGTGACTCGTTTACTCGCCGGACCTCCGCTCTATCAGATAACTTCGAATCGTAAACGCACCCAAGGTTCTTCACCGGTTGCTCTAGAACCGTGGGGATCCGAATCCTTGCCACCGTGAAACTGATCGCCGCCACCTTGCCTTTCAGGATTGATAGACTCCTCGATTTCTGCGATTTGAACTGCATTCCGCACCATTGGACAACGTCTTCCAATCTTTTCAGAATCGTGCGAGCAGATTCCTCACTGCCCGTGATTATAGTCGTATCATCCATAAAAGCACGTAGTAGCGGCATCCAGTGGTCCCCAATCTGAAAGCCCTGACCGTAGCCGGCAGCCCCGTCTAACATGACCTGCATGGCCACAGGTTTGGCGAAATCGTACACCTCATTGCTATCCCAACCTGGAGCTCAGTCCATCTTATAGTAAACGTAGCGGTTTGAGAAATATTGTTCGATCATTTCGTTGATCTGTGTCGGTTGGTGGAATATGCGAAGAGCGTGCTTATATGTAACCACCCCATAGACGTTGGCGAGGTACAATCATATCACGTGCAACTGAGTTCTCTCTGCTTTGGCCCTCTGCTCATCTGGTTTGGTTCAGCACCAGTGTCAGAAAACCAGACACAAAACTGTGGTTTGCCGGTTGTCTGCGAACCAACAGCAGTTTGTGAATTGCCTGCTCTGTGAACTGTATTCTCTAACTCTGAATCATCCTTTAGATCAGGGTCTAAGTGTGGGCCAGCATCTGAGAATCGAACATGGTTCTGAGAACTATCTATGCATGAGTTTCTTCCTAAGCTTGGCATCTTCCCTTGACCCTGTGGTCTGTTTTCCCTCAGTAATTTATCCTCTCTTTGTAGTCTATTCACAGCAGTAGAGCAAGGTCTTCGAGGCTGTGAGTAACTGGTTTCTTCACTACTTGTTGTGTCTAACTTCTGCAGACACACAGAAATAAATAAAATTAAAGATGACAGCAACAGGAGATAACAGATAAAAACCGAGGAAAGATGACAGTAATAAGTGACAACGAAAACACGTCTAAACAAACACGAGGAAACAATGAAGTGTCTCAGAATCAGGAGACAAAGAAAACAATGAAGTACATGATGAAAATGTCACGTATGTCAAATAAAGGGAAAGGGGACAAATGTGGCGGCACTTTTCCATCTTTCCTAGCGACACTGTTACACTGTGCGATTGGAAGGGGA